TTCTCGTGTTGAAAATCTAAACGTTACATTTGGAAAATTCAAAGGTAACGGTAAAGGAAAACGTAAACGTAAACATACAGGTACAAATCCTCCCATAATTATTTGGAAGAAAAGATCTATATTTTGGGAGTTGCCATACTGGAAGCACTTGCAGGTTCGCCATTGTCTTGACGTTATGCATGTTGAAAAAAATGTTTGTTAAAGCTTGATAGCCTTATTGTTGAACATCAATGGAAAGTCAAAAGACGGGATTAATGTTCGAGACGACATGGTTAAAATGGGAATTCTCCCCGAGCTTGCTCCTATTACGAATCCTGGAAAGTATACGTATCTGCCAGTAGATTTTATACCATGTCAAAGGATGAGAAAACAAAATTTTGTAAATGCTTACATGGTGTAAAGGTTCCATCAGCCTATTCCGCTAACATTAAGAAGTTAGTTTCAATGAAAGAACTAAAACTATTTGGTATGAAGTCCCATGATTGTCATGTTTTAATGGAACATATGATTCCCATTGCAATTTGTGGAATACTACCAGATTGCATTCGACACACAATCACAAAGTTATGCTTGTTTTTCAACATGATTCATTCTAAAGTTATTGATCCAGAGGTATTAGATTCATGGGAAAGTGATATTATCTTGACGTTATGCCAACTCGAGATGTATTTCCCACCTTCATATTTTAATGTCATGGTTCATCTGACATCTGATATTGTTAGAGAGATAAAATATCGTGGGCCAGTATTCTTATGATACATGTATCCATTTGAGAGATATATGGGCGTCTTAAAAGGGTATGTAAGGAATAGACATCGACCAGAGGGTAATATTGTTGAAGGATACGCAACAGAGGAGGTAATTGAATATTGTACTGACTATCTACAAGGTCTCAATAGTATTGGCATTCCAAAATCTCAACATGAGGGTAGACTTGTAGGGAGTCGGACAATTGGATTGAAAAAGATCATTCCAAATCGAGAAGACTTCAAACTTGCACATTTTACAGTCCTACAACATATGACAATCATTGCTCCATATTTAAACGAGCACAAAAGAGCACTAGAGATGTCGAATCGTGGTAAAAGCAAAAGATGGTTGATTACGGAACATAACAAAACATTCTCACAATGGTTAAAAGACAAAGTGAAAGCAAGTTATGGCATGGATAATGTGGATCAAGCTGTAGTACATCTAGGGAATGGTCCTGAATATCTTGTGGCAACATACCAAGGATACGACATTAATGGTTATACATTTTACACTAATCAACAAGATGGAAAAGTACACTTCAAAATAATGATGCAACACTAATAGCCTCAACCGAAGTATATGGAGATAATCATGATACAAGGGCGAGGATCGCCAAAGAATCATATTATGGCGTCTTTCAGGAAATATGGGAATTGAAATATGATTCCATCATTATACCTATGTTAAAGTGCAAATGGGTTGACAACCAATGAGGTATTAAAGTTGACAATGATGGTTTTATAGTTGTTGACCTTTCCACAAATGGTTATGTATCAGAACCATTCATTCTAGCTAAACAAGCTACCCAAGTATTCTATGTTGAGGACCCAAAGGAATCGGGAAAGCACATCGTCATGCATAGCAAACGACATATACTTGGTGTTGATGATGTTGTGGACGAGGAAGAGTACGATCAATTTGATGAACTACCCCCATTTTCTATCGACATTCCATCTTCAAATGATGATGTTGATGACACCACTTACTTACGGTCAGATCACAATGAAGGATTATGGATATCCTAACCTATTGATAATCCTGGATAGTTTGGTCAGATCAATCAAAGGCAGAAATAAGGTAGCTTCAAGGCTAAGTACTAAAATAGGAAAGTTATTTTGATTATTTTATATAAACAAGGACTGTCATCAAGTTCTTTAGTTATATGTTTATACTAGAATACTTATTCATAATTTACAGGATCTTGTTTAAGGTTGTTTAGCAGGTCACTATAAAATATGGTGCACCATTGATTCTTATTTTTATACAATTAATAAAGCTAGTGAAAGACTATTTTGGATTGTTCTCGAATTAAGCTCTATCGGTTCTAACCGTAGGGACCGAATCTCGTACCTATCACCCACATACTTTGGAAAATAAAACAAGTTATTCAATAAGAAACATGAATATGTTTGTAAAATTGCACAAATCTAGTATAAACTAATTATATTTTGAAAACTCACTACATTATTCGGCCCGGTTCGTTTTTTAGTTAAAAATCTCATCCCTAATCTGAATTATATTATTACACTGATCATCAAAATGAAATTCGTCAACCTTTTGGGTATCTTAAGTCTTGCAGGATTCGTTAATTAACTTCAACATGTCGTAAGTTATAAAATTATAGTATAGTTAAAAGTTCTTATTAAAAATGCATGTTTGAGAACATATTTATAAGATTGAAATTAAATATGTTGCCAATATATTTTTTTTCTTGTATCTTAATAAATAAATATTATATCTTTATGTTAGAGTTTCCTTTTAAATTCATATTATACTAATAATTAGAGTTAGAAACAAAATAATACACAATAATTAGGAACAAAAAAAAGGCATGAACTCTAATTTGGTATTTTACGCCAAAAATATATAAAAATTAAAGTGGTTTTCGTTGAAACTTTTTGAGTTAACCCGTGTGAAAATTCAATATACCGCCACACATTTTGAGGTAGAATCAGACCCCATACCACGTTGTCACTCCTTACCCTCCTCTTCTACTCCACTGCAACAACCAGCGACTTTTACCACTTTTACCACGGCACCGTCATCTCAAGCCGTGACCCCCAACCCATGACATGTATAGTTAAGTGGGTCGTGTTCGGGTTGGTAGATTTGACCCGCCAACCCGCGAACCGCCAACCCGAACACGACATGATTGCCAAGCCCACTTTTAATGTTGTTTCAAAAAAGAAATCTTAATATTTTCAACGTCCATTTTATAAAAAAAGTCCTAAGTTGAAATTTGAGTTTGTTTATGGCTAATTGAGTTGAATTATATATTTATTTTATATTAGGAATGAGCATTTGGATCCATCGAACTGACCCTATAATGTACTAACGTCAGATCCGACCAAGTTTTTTACTCAATGGTACGGTTCCCGGTTCTTCGTTCTCATTCGACCGGTTCCCAAACTCGTTGGAGACATGTACGTATAAAAGGCGGGTTTTCAAAAAAATAAATATTACATGTTTTTTTGTCAAATCAATACATTATTTTTATAATGATACATATTAGAAGTTCAATAAGCAAAACGTATCAATTGAAACTTATATACAAATATAAAGGACAAGTTTGAAAATTTTAAGTTACTTAAGATAATGAAATATATACCGTAAAAAATCAACCATTTACTTTTTAGATTTGGCCTGATATAAGTTTTGGTAAAGTTTTTTGGATATCCTGTCATGGAAATTGTATAACCCGCCACAAATTTTGGGTACAATCAAGGGTTTAGGTCATTTTTTGTTACTTAACTTTTAGTTTTGTGCTCATTTGGTCACTTAACTCTTTTTAAGTAATAAAAAGTCATCAAACTTTTGGCTTTGTGCTCATTTAGTCACTTAACTTTTGGTTTGGTCACATTTAGTCACCTAACTTTTAAAATTGTGCTCATTTAATCACTAAACATTTAAATTTTTTCAAAAGTTTAGTGACTAAATGAGCACAATTTTTAAAGTTTGGTGATTAAATGAGCACAAATCTAAAAGTTAAGTGACCAAACCAAAAGTTAAGTGACTAAATGAGCACACAGTCAAAAGTTTGATAACCTTTTAAAACTTAAAAAGAGTTAAGTGACCAAATGAGCACAAAACCAAAAGTAAAGTGACCAAAAATATGACCTAAACCCTAAAATCAAAACCCCAAACACGTTTTCACTCCTTACACCTCCCATTCTTCTTCATCGCATCAACCAACCGGCTATTTGACTAGCTACCACACCATCAGGTTGTGCCTTAACAGACGATTCATCGTCCTGACTACAATTCTAGTGCCTAAAACCCTTATCTTTTCCTCGATTTTCCCTGTCCCCTACCTCATATCAGGAGGTCGCCAAGTCATTGCTAGGGCAACATTACTCGTATACACGACTCTACATCTCTATTGGTCCTCTTTTGTGCCACTGCTAAACATCTTCTACACTTGCAATTTGTAAGTTTTATATGTTGATATTTGATTTATGAAAGTTTTACTTGAGACGTTTACTTAGGTTTTGTAAATTCGTGGATTTATATAAGCATGAATCATGTACTAATGCTGATTTAAACGAGAATACATGAGAACAGAACAGGAAACTCAAAACAGGAAACCTGAAGGATTTTTTTAGAAATTTATGGATGTATGTATGTATATATTCATAAAAATACTTCATTTAGTTGCTCTTATCTGCTGTTTTTTGACAATTCTGCAAAAAATAACAATGATGACAGTGTCGGAACCCTTTAGGGGCCGGGGGAGGCCATGACCCTCCCGTTTTTCAGCAGATATATGCTTGTAATCATTGGTTTTTTCTTCTTTTTTCCCCATCGATACCATATCATTCTCTTTGTATCTCTTCATGTTTATTCTTTTTTTTTTTGCTCTTTATCCATCGTGCCTAGCATTCCAATACACTGATACATCCTTGAAAATACTAAGTTCTTATTTTTTGGTTATCTGGTTTGTGAGTTTCTTTTTTAATCTATTCAACTTTGATATGTTTATTTCTTGAGAAAATTGCAATTTAGTGTTTACGTACTACAATTTAAATTTGTTGGTATTGAACATTTGAAATTCCATATTAAGTGTTTGTGAAAAATTATTCAATGAGGCTTCATATTTTTTTAAAGTAAGTTTTGATGAACATGTGAAGTTTCATATTTTGATATGTAATTCAACAACCGATACCACATCCACATCCACAACCACAACCACAACCACAACCACAACCACAACCACAACCGAGGAAAAAAAAAGAACAGCCACACGTCTAATGGATATAACAGAGCCACAAGAAGTTGAATTTAACAGTCTTGGTCAGCATTGTGGCGATAAGCAAATTAAGTTCGCCAATGACTGCGGGGTTGTTACGAGAAAGTTAATTTCTATCGAATATCCAACTTGGAAGAAAGTGCCAGCAAATGAAAAGGAGAACTTATGGTTGACCGTCAAGGTTTGTTATCTAATACGCATTACATGTGCTTTCATTTAATTAATATATGTTACTAATAGTTATTCTTTTTAAAAAAACAAAAATAGAAACGTTGGAATATCCATGATGAAAAACGCAAAGCATATGTGCTTATGACTTGCAACCACAAGTGGAGATCATACAAGAAGAGGCTTAAAAAGAATTTATTGGCCAATGAGAATGAGAGAAATCCACTTGAAACCTACTCATATCTAGAGAAGAATGCATTGCAAAAATTTAAGGAAAGGATATCATCAAAGGAATTCCAGGTTTGTAGGATATAATGTCTCTTGATAATATTAATCATTATGTTGCAGTTTCATAATTGTGGTTGTTGCTTTTATTGGCAGGTTATAAGTGAGAAAGCAAAGATGAGTTCAATGTGTAATACAAATCCAGCCCAAGTAGGCCCACATGGTTATCGGGGCAACAAACCTATGTGGGAACAAGAGAAGGCATCGGGTGAGCTGCCGTCACCGTTGTATGAGATAAAAAGCGAGCGTTCATTAGATTATGTGTTGAGGAGAAGATCTAAAAATGAGTCAGGGTCAAAAATAATACCACCTAACATGGAACCGAAGATCATGGGCTTTCCTACGTTATGCAAATGTATAATAATGGTCCATGTGTGATAGAAAATATACTAAAATAGTTCCAAACTTTTATATTTAGCATATTTTTCTGTTTTAATGTGTTAGGTTTATGTTTTTTGAATTTCTTGATATCATTTTACTTTGAACTTTGCTGTCAAATTATGTTTTATAGCAAATTTTCTAACATGTTGACACATGAAATACACTACATGCTATATGATTACAGACTATTACTCATTGTGATTTGGTGTAACCTTATGGTGATATGAACCAATAATGTGTCAGAGGGATAGACTTTACTTATAATGATGGGTTAGTTCACTCACTTCCTCTACGCAAAAATCACTTGAAGGTTATGATAGACAACATAGATGAAAGATATAAAGGTATTTATCTTTCTGTGATGATGACAGATGAAGTTGGTATCCTAGAAGATACGGGGTTGGCACTGTAATTCAATGGCCGCGGATCACAATTGTTGTTAGTAAGGTACATCTTCATTATGCTTTAATTTTTTATCTACCATATATACATTTTTTGAAAATGGGAGAATTCCCTATATGCCGCTATTAAACATCAAAATATTATATTTAGGATGAAAAATAAAATATTTTGATGTCTAAGAATGGCATATATGACGTTCTCGCTAATTAAAATGAGTTATTAAAAGGAACAACAAAGCAAGGCGCCATCACAACAACAAATTCAGACCACAATTGCACGACCATCAACCGCAAAGGCTGTTATGGAAAAAAAAACATGCCTAACCAAAAGATCAACAAACCAAGGCCAATAGAATCATTCCGTGACCTTTTGAAGACCAACCTAGTGGTTCATGTGGTAGCCGATGCTGGAAATCTAGAAGCTTGGGCATTTGATTTTTTAGTTACATATGAAGATTATTATCGTTTGTTGAAAAAACAAACAACTGATTTGTCCATCATAACAACTTGGCAGATGTAAGCGCATTCAAATTTTACTATTATTTGTTTCCATGATATTTTGTTTTTAGGCTGCTTATAAGATATTACTTTATCGTAAATGTTTTGTAATATTGTTTGTAGCCTTCTACACTTAATGGTTCGGAAACGTTGGGCAAGTGTGCTTTCCTAAACCCATATAAGATTCTTGGGAAAGTCTGTCAGGAAACTCCGATTGATGTCGTCAATTATCTCGTTGATGTGATGCGTCTTCATCATGGAAAATCATTTCTTATTGCACCATACCTACAAAAGTATCATACGTTGCTATCTATATTAATAGTTTTTTTTTTGTTTATTTATACTAAAATTTCAAAACATTACTAGTACGCATTGGGTCCTCTTGGTGATTTGCCCTTCAAATCATATTGTATACATTTTGGATTCTCTGATGAAGCCTATGAAAAATCCTGTTGACAACTACTTAAACTTCTGGAAAAGTAAGAAATTTCTTAATATGGCATGAAAATAACTTTATTTCTATAAGTTTGAATACAATTCTGCTGCTTGTTTATTTTTAGGGCTTTTGAGAGGTATGAAAAGAACACATCAATTCTAATTGTATGGAAGCTCGCTGAGGTAGTTTATCTTATTACTTATCCACTAGTTAGATGTAGTTTCATTTGTGATTTATGTTTACTTCTATCACAATTTTAGTGCAATCAAGACGGTGTATTGGAAAGTGAGCTGAGTGGGCATTATGTAACGAATTGGATCTTTGATTTTGTGTTGAACGGACAACATGGATTTCCTAATAGAGTAAGTACTTATTAAAAAAATCTTTTCTTCTAAAGGAAGAAACAAATTGTTTCGTTATTTAGTAGTTTTAATTTTATTTTTGTATAGTTTTGGTACCCTTTGGAATGACAAAACTGCATTTGAGGAAAAGGCGTTGGTTACAACTGTTGCTACATGGACCAGAGAATTTCTGAAAATTTTTATGAATGATGTGGTTGTCTAAAAGTGCATATAAGGTTAGTTGTTAATATTTATTACATCCTACTTTTAGTTTAGTGATTGTTTGCTAAATTCAACTCTTTTAAAATGCTAGACAAAAAACTAATTATTTGTTGTGTTTTGTTTTTCAGTGAGGATGAAGGATAGCTGTGTTTTGTTTTTTCAGGGAGGATGAAGGATAGCTATTGTGTTTTGTTTTTAAGTGAGGTTGGAGGATAGCTGCAATACTTGATTATTGGACAATACCTCTGCATGGGAAAACAATTTTTTTTTTTTGAATTTATTTATGTAAGTTTTATGTATTATAATATGACCAAATCAAGTAGTTTTTAGCAGCACTTAAGCATGTTTTTATCGATGACTATAATGATTGGTTATTTAGCATGTTTATATTGATATAATTTGTTCATCAATGCATAATTTTTGTTTTGTTTTGAATGTGTGCTTTGGATGCAAGTATCAGTTTGTGTTTTTTATCAACTGTTTTCTTTATATTATGGTTATTTGAATAAAGTTGTTACCAATTTAATTCTTATAACCATGTTGTCCACTGTGATTATAGTTGGTTTTTGTAAGGCTGAAAAAGACCCGATTATGTTTAGGGATTGGAACCGGGCTCTTTTAGCCATATATGACCCGGTTTAGTATGGTTAGACCGCGTCCTAATCTTCATATATGATCAAATATTGTGCGTTATGTTCCTCTTATATGTCCCGGTTTTATGAACAACCGTGTTTTTTTGTGTCAGATAGGAGCCGGTTTTAAAACCGAGTTCTATTCCTTTTATTATGTAGGACTCGTTGGCTTTAAAACCTGTTCAAAACCGGGTTATTTAATTGATTTAACCGGGTCCTATAAGCTTTTTTCTAGAAGTGCGTCCCCGAAGATTATACTCTTGATGCTTCCGACACCACCATCACCTTCAATAATGCTAATGGATTTGAATGTTTGAGGGTCTACCTTAGGTGCGAGGTTGTCGAAATCTGCACAGACTTTGAAAAGTTTATTAGATGGAAGGGAAGAAGTGAACTCAATTTCGGTGGTGATGATTGACATTATTAACTAATTTGCAAGAAATGATAAGTAAGAAGATGATTTTATATGTTGCGGTGAGATATGAGTAAGGATAGTGGTATTTATAAGGTTGGAAGGCTGGAAAAAACACCTGATGGTTTCTAGATGTTAAAATATAATATTCAAAATTTACATCAACAAAATTGTTCAGGAGACAAGAAACATAAATATGGCATGCAAATAAAAAATATTAGTATTAAAAAAATAATGTGTAGACACATGATTCTGGACCACTTCCACGCTTTCCTTAAAATATGAACATGTTTTTAATTATAACTTTTATGAACATATTTTTATTTTATAACTTTTAACAGAACTATTTTATTCTTCACAACTTTGTCATATCTCATTCCTTTAAATTATTCTTATTGAAGTATTAAACCAAGACTATGAGTGAAAACATTTCATATATAATACTCATGTATGTATCACGATGAGCAGGTTTTCTATTTTATAGGAACGATTGATTTGGAAAAATATATTGTCACAATTTTATCCAGCTTTTCTTACATTTAATATATAATGTTTAATATCCACCAAATATTATTATGAAAATATTTAACATGTAACTAGACATGAGACGTTAAACAACACAAGCAACCAATTGTGGGTTTATTAACCAGCCGACATGAGAAAAATTAAACCTTACATCTAGAAAATAACCAAGATTATGAAGAACTTACAGCTTAATAATTAAATATTAAAATTTTCATGTACCACCGTATCATCTAATGTTTTGTTCTTGAACACATCTTCAATTTCACGTGTCCAGTTGAGAAGAATCCACCATCTTCAGGAATAAAACATATATGTTAGAAAACAAAAATTGTGTTTCCCGACTAATTTATAGATACCTCGTCTCTGCAAATGATCTGATCGGACTAACCAGTCTCCCTAAACTAGTTTGACAAGATCTCTTACACAACCATCCATCCAAATCTTATCGATGTAAGGTATCATTAGATAATACCTTGGTGCGTAAGAAAAAACAGAACATGAAAGAAGGAAAAACTGCAGAGTGAAGAAGAAGAAACAGGGGAATAAGAAAAACGGAAGAGACTTTGATTATTTGCTGAATAAGAGTTTTTTATTCCTGGAAAACTTAATAAAATAAACCTAAAATAATACCTTATTTATACTAAATGTGGTATCCTAAACTAACTCAAATACTCATAAAAGGAAAGTTTCCAAAATTGCCCATGTGGACGAATTTCGTGAATTACGCCTACATTTTCCCTCCTACTTCAGTAAGTAACTGAGATGTTCTTCACTCCTAATAGACTTCTTATCTCTTCAAACTTCAGTTTAGCCATAGATTTTGTGAATATATCAGCCCATTGTTCAGTTGCTACCACATGTTGCACAATGACATCTCATTTTTCAACCAGATCACGTATGAAGTTTTATCTCGTGTCGATATGCTTGCTTCTTCCATGGAACACCGGGTTCTTCATCAGTTCCAAAGCTGATTCGTTGTCAACATACAACACTATAGGGCTGATCCTTCTTAACTCTCCAAGTAATCATCTTATCCAAACTCATTGACATGTGGCACTTGTAGCTGCCATAAATTCTGCTTCACTGGACGAAAGTGCCACACTTTATTGCTTTGTTGCTTCTGTGAGTTCCATGTAACAAGGTTCTCATTGAGATAAAATGCCATACCTGATGTACTTCTGTGGTCAATCACATCTTTAGCTAAATCGATATTTGTATTTCACTACTTCTTACGTACATATTCCAGACCATACATAGATGTTCCATTTATGTAGCTTAGAATATGTTTCATGACTTGTAGCTGATGTGAAGTTGGTATTTCCATTAAACGACTCACCATTCCAACTGAAAAAGCGATGTCTGGTCTTGTATGTGTCAAATATCTTAATCCACCAACTATACTCCTATAGAAACTGGGATCAATAGGTTCTGCTTGTTCATCTAGTCATGTATGTGTCAAATATCTCAATCCACCAACTATACTCCTAGAGAAATTGGAATCAATAGGTTCTCCTTGTTCATCTTTACTTT